TATGGTCCAAAAAAGGAATTGATATGGAAATTCAGAGCATTTCAAGTCAAATATATATGGTGCAAATATGCAGTATTTTGGTTTGGTGTTATCAGTGTGATGCAGAGTCTGTGACTTTATTTAGATGTGGTGATGATGTTTCTCTGCATTCACAACAATTTCCATATACATATATATATTCCCATCAAACTAATAGTACATATTAGAATGCAAATAGCACAGTTTTCTATTATTTTCGAGTTAAGTAAAACAACTGTCTTCCATTCAAGGTTGTCACCCAGATAGTATTTTAAACTCACAGGGGTCCAATTATCTCAGCCAAAGCAGGTCTCTTGTGGCGAAGGCCTGCAGGTGCACCTGTGCAACAATTAGGGCCTTGAGTTGGAAGTCAGTTTGTTTAGCTTAAAAAGCTGTTCTTTATCCTAAAGTTTGAAAAAAAATCTGAAAAAAAAAAATGAAATTGGAATTGAGTTAGGAAAATTAAAACCTGTAATCATGCAAATGCGTTAACTCAGCTTTACATAAATAAAACAGTGTTTTGTTTAATAGCATGATATATTTGCCTCTCTGTCCTAAAATGAATCAAATTATATCTAAAAAAAAAACGTTTCCCCGACCAAATCATTACTTTAATATACTGCTTGCCTCAAATAAAACTCCTTAAGTAGTGGAAGGGATTTTCAGCACCACGGACAGCTCTGTCTCTAATTCAGTTAAAGCAGCACAGATTTCCTAAAACTAAGCAGAAACTGTTTATCATTTGTACTTATTTTTTTTTTCCTCACTTAACTCCTGCTGTTGTGTTACAGAAACAGGAATGTTAACAGGGACACAATTATTTGGAATAAAAAAGGTATCAGAAAAATATGCTCATTTAGAAGTTGAATTAAACTAAATCTAAATTAAACTGTATTCAGAATAAAAGGAGTGGTTTAGGCTTAATCTAAACAGTGCCACTTTTACCAGTCATTTGGATCATTTAATTTGATTCAGAGAAACTGACCCTTACTCTGTGTGTGGTGTAAGCAGCAGCAGCCTTGGGCAGCACAGAATTTTGAGGGAATAATATTCATTCTTAACTCAGGCAGTCTGGACCAACACTCCCTTATATCTGTTGTGTTTTTTTTTCTCCTTCTTTTTTTTGTTGTTTTATAAGCAGGCAGAACAATAGGACAGAAGTACAACACTTCTGTGGTTATTTTAAGGAAATATTAACACCTTGCTTCTTCCCTGAATAAAGCCTGATGCCAGTAAATGAAATTTATGATGGGATTATTGGATTTGGAGCCCATGTAAAGGGTGTATTCAGATCGCTATTGTTTTTTTAATCATAACACATCTTTATCCAATCAAGGCTTTCTGTGCATGCTAACAGAAAAAAAGTTGCTATTCTCTACACTAATAAAGCAAAACAAAACATAAAAAAGCAAAAACATCTCATTTTCCTTTATTGCAAAAAACTTTCCTGTGATGCAGTCAAAACCAAGGAGGATGGTGTTACAGCATTTTACACGGCTTATCCAACCTGCTGACATGCACAACTTAAAACCGTGTTGTATCCTCCTGATATCTGCTCCAAGCTACCATCGCCTTTACCCTCCTCACAGTAAGCTGATGATATAAAGATGGTGTCATGTGTTGCATAAGACTGAGGCACAGACCTGGAAGAGAGGGGCAGGACAGTGAACTGCAGCTGTATGAAACACATTACTGTGAATAATATGGAGAGGAGGGAAATATAGAACATGATAGACATAGTGTATGACCTTTGTCTAAAAAGTAAATGATTAGATATTTAATATTACAGTATACATTTTTTTCTGGGCACTAGTGGCTACTATGTTAAAACAGGTTGCCCTCTGTCTAACAGAGAATCATACTTAACTATTTATGTTGTTAGGCAGTCTACGATTGTCAAAACATTTTTATTAGCTGAATCCCAGAATAATGTTAGACTTAGTGATTTATTTATTTTTTTACATTTTCT